CCTCTTTCCTGAGTCACTGGCAGGCAGTGTTGAGTCAGTAATTAAACAGCTTCAATCTCTTGTCTGTCCAGGTACAGGAAAAACCCTTTTGGCCAGAGCAGTTGCCAGCCAGCTGGATTGCAACTTCCTCAAGGTGTGTAATGGCTCTGTCCCCACACCCATTGGGTCTGTTTGCTCTCCAGTCTCCTCATCCACCCCCTGTGTCCTTCCCAAGGTGGTGTCCAGTTCCATAGTGGACAAATACATCGGTGAGAGCGCTCGGCTCATCAGAGAGATGTTCAATTATGCCAGAGATCATCAGCCCTGCATCATTTTCATGGATGAGATCGATGCTATTGGTAAGGCTCATGGCCTGGGGGGTGGCTGGGCTCTCCTTTTAGGGCTGGAATCAGCTAGAAAGCCAATTCCCCCCGTTTCAAAGGCAAAAATCAAATAGCAGAACTGATGGGTTTGGTGTGCTGCAGGTGGGCGCCGCTTTTCTGAAGGCACATCAGCTGATAGAGAAATTCAGAGGACTCTGATGGAGGTGAGTGTCCAATTCCTGACTGTGGCCTCAACAGCCACATTAAATAATAATCCAGGTGTGAATTATTACCTGGCTTTGCAGAACCTTTTCTGGGTTAGTGATCCTAAACTAGAAGTGAACTAAGTGCTGCTTTTACGAAAGGCAGCTGCACATCCTGGTAACTCAGCCATGAGTTCAATGTGGAGACTAATTGAATCTTTTAAATTGCTGAAATGATTTAGGATATTTTCTTTTGCTGGCTGCTGCTCCCTGCATCTTTGAATGTTTGGAGAACCCCCCTTTCTGTCTCTTTTAGTCCCAAAGACACCCAGTCTATAGCATTTTTTTGGCTGTTGCAGTTGGATTTTCAAAGCTAGGAGGAGCACTTGTATTTCTTTGTTTCTGTAGTAATTGCTTTGATAAACTGGGTTGTGTGAAGAGAATATTAAAACCACTGGTGACAATTAGGAATTCTGAAGCTAATGGGAACCTTCCTTGGCCTGTGTTTGCAAACAGTGTGCCTGATTCAAAATAATGTGTCTGCCTTCCATAGAGAATTGAATCACTGTGATCAAAGAGCAAGTGCTTTGAGTGTTCACAATGAAATGCCTTCCTGTGTGTGGATTAGTATTCCAGAGGCTGTTCTTCAAGTCTAATTGGAATGTCCTGGCCTTGGTGCACTACAATCCAAATGTGTCAGGCAGCCATTGGCTCCTTTAGTCCGTGCTATATTTTCTTTGCCTCATTGTTTTAGTCAAGTGTTTCACATTTGAGCTCAGCTGTGCTCAATGTCCTTTTCTCTGGGTAAAGCATTTTCAGTGTCTCTCTTCAGCCCTTCATTGCTTGGGATGGAATTCAGGAAGCTCAAGGCCTTGTAGGATTTTTTTTTTTTTTTTTTTTTTTACTTCAGAGCTTTTCATCTTGGTGAAGAATACTTAGGCAGGAAAACAAATCAGACTGGGAAGGTTTGGGGTTATTTAAAACCAAACTTCTGTTCCCTGTTAGTTGTTGAATCAGATGGATGGATTTGACACTCTGCACAGAGTTAAAATGATCATGGCTACCAACAGACCTGACACCCTGGACCCTGCCCTGCTGCGGCCTGGAAGGCTGGATAGAAAAATCCGTGAGTTTCTGCTTCCCAGTGGCTGGGAGGAGGATGTAATCCATGGGAATTGTGGGTTTCTGCTTTTATTGAAGCTCTAATTCTTTCTAGATATCGATCTACCAAATGAACAAGCCAGATTAGATATTTTGAAGATTCACGCAGGTCCTATCACTAAACATGGTGAGATAGGTGAGTAGAAGTTCCTTGGATGTCATTCCTAGAGATGGGAAGAGGGTGAGTTGTTAAAATGATTCTTTACACTGCCCACACAATTTCCCCTCTTGGAATTCTACTTGTTTTATTTTTTAATGCATCCTGATTGAACTGTTATTAAGTCTTTGAAAAGGAAAACTGAATATAAACCCTTGGAGCCCAGCTGGAAACTGGAAAATCAACGTAGTTCTCATCAGGCAGTTTCCTGTTTCTAATGGAATGGCTTAGTGAAAGTAAAGAGTGTTTTCATTCACCCCTCAATGAATGAAATATTGTTAATGAAGTCTGAAAGCAACAGTCTTTAAAAGTCAGGGAGAAACCTTGGAGTTGGAGGATGGCATAAGCAAAATTTTTGTCTGGGTAGTGGTGTGGATCATTCTCTCAGGAGTGTAAGGGTGAGGAATAACAAGATAAAATGAGAGAGGTTTATTTAAGGACTGTGTTACTCTGAGCTGCCCAGAGTCCTGCTCTCAAAGTGACTCCTCCCAGCTTTCCTGGAGGAAACTGGGGCTGGGATTTGCCTTTAAAGCAGCAGTGGGAGTGCAGCAGTGCCCCAGGGCCCCGTGCCACCCCCACCCCCTCCGTGCTGACAGCAGCGATTCCTGCATCCCCTGGAGCTGATCCCAGTCACCATCTGGCTGCATCAACAGCTGCAGCTCAGCTCGGGGACAGCAGGACAGAGCTGGGGGAGGGCCAGGGCTGGGCATTGCTTTTCTTAGCAGCAGTGTTGGCTTAAACCTGCACGTGACTGCAGGCTACGAGACAGAGGGAGCTCCAAAGCAAATCATGAACCTGAGGTAAAGTTCTTGGAGAGAAACTTTAAACAAGGCACAGAGTGACAGCACAAAGGGGGAATGGCTTCCCACTGCCAGAGGACAGGGTGAGATGGGATATTGGGAAGAAACTCTTCCCTGTGAGGACGGTCAGGCCCTGGCTCAGTTTTCCCAGAGAAGCTGTGGCTGCCCATGGATCCCTGGAAGTGTTCCAGGCCAGGTTGGATTGTTCCAGGAGGCTTGGAGCAAGTGGAAGATGCTCCTGGCCATGGCAGGGGTTGGAGGGAGATGGTCTCTTCCAACTCAAACCATTGTGGGATTCTGGAATTCTACTTCATCCTGTTTTCCTGTGTTTGGCACTGGAGTGGAGTAGGGTGGGATCATCCCTTCTGCCATTCAGCAAAGTGAGAGGTCAGGTCCTTGCTAAGTTCCTGCATGTAATGTGGAAAAACTGTGATGCTCAGCTTTGATACCCCAAAAGGAAAGCCTAAACTTAGCAGCAGGGTGAGGTGGAAATTGGATTAAAATCCAAAGATAAGGATTTGCTCAGGTGATGAGATTTGCATGAGATTCTCCTACTTCCATCCAGATGTCTGCTGAAAACCCTAAACTCACAAACCCTGCACTCTTCAACCTCATTTCTCTCACTTAAGTTTTTTTACTTTGCAATTATGAAAATAATTTTTTATATGACATTGTACTACATGAAATTAAAATATAGCTGAAGAACTTCTCATCTTTAGGAGCTTTTGGTTTCTTGAGATAAAAACATCGTTCAATTGTTTTGAATTTTATACAGACAGGAAACTGAAACATTTTCCAGGGAGTTGATAGTTTTAATAAGCAGCCTTGCAAAAATCAGAACTTGCTGGAGGTTCAACAGTGGTTTAGAAATTGATTTCCACTGAACTATAACCAAGGCCACTCTTTTAGTAAATATATGTGCATAAAATATCAGGCTTAATATATTAATACACTAAGTGCCTTTATTAGATGGAGTGTTGGAAGTGGAAAGGGACTGAGTTATGACCACTTGGAGATAAGTTTTCTGGGTTTTTACAGCATTTAAATGATAAGAACATTGCTTTGATGGAGCTTTTGCACTTCATGTGGATTCTTGTAACCACAAGTTGGTAACTTTGGGATTTAATTATATAACATGAGCTTTTGGCTGCCACACATTTCTGTTTTAATGGAAGGGCTGATACAGCTGCTGATTCCAGCTAATTTATCAGCCCAGTGGGCAGCTCTCTGTTTGCACTGAAATCCAAGTTTGGGAGCTGGATCTGTGTTTTCTTGGCATCCCTAATGGCAAGGGTGATTTATTGCTGTTTTATGAACATTGGTATTTTATGAACAGATTATGAAGCAATCGTGAAGCTCTCAGATGGCTTCAACGGAGCAGACTTGAGAAACGTCTGTACTGAAGCAGGTAATTCCTTAACTCTTCATTTGGATGTGCTAAATCTTGGATAATGCTGAATCTTGGAGCTGTTCCTCTGTGGATTAAACCCAGGAGCTCAAAAATGTTCTGCTGGAACATTTCAGTCGAGCTGTTCTGAGCCAGCCACTTGTTGGCTGATCATGATGTGTCCCACTGTCTCGTTAGAACCAGATACATCCCAGAAACAGGGATTGTTGTACCCATTTTTCTCCTTTTTGGAGAGAATTCAGGGCTTTTGGTACCTGAGTGCCTGGAGAGTTGATGCTATTTTTTTTTTCACATGAAAATGTGTGCATTCAGGGTGTGCCTGTATAGGCAGGCTGATTAACACAGCAAATGCACACTGAGAGTTTAAACAAGTTTTGTTTTTAGTAATCCCCTAGTTCAGAAAGGTGAATTTCCTCCTCTCACCAACATCCAAGACATGGGAAAGTCATGTAGGTAGTGTAACCTGGATCAGTTTTCATTAGAATTTTGAGTGAAACTTCATGTTCTGTCTTCACACTGTTAAATCCTCCCTCCCAGGGATGTTTGCTATCCGTGCTGATCATGACTTCGTAGTTCAGGAAGATTTCATGAAAGCTGTCAGGAAAGTGGCTGATTCCAAGAAGCTGGAGTCCAAGCTTGACTACAAACCTGTGTAAATTAACCATAGAATTTGTGATTGATTGTACACATCCTACTGGGTTAATGCATAAAAAAAAAAAGAGAGAAATAATGTACCTCTTGATTATCATTGTAAGGTGTTTGTGTAGCATGTAGCTAGTAATTTTGGGAATGCTAGTTGCAAGTTGGCTACAGGAGTGTGTTTTCTGTACAATTCTGAAATGCAATGTTCATTACAGCCCAGGCTCAGTAAAAATGTGTGGAGATGTGTTGTTCTCTTAGCAATTATGGTGGGAATTTATAAACATGCCTGAAGGGATTCACAAACAGAAGAAAAGTCAGTTCATTTCTTGGCTTTTTGTATATCAGTAAATCTCCTTTCCCCAAACAGTTTATGAATAAAACCTGTTTAAATCTGTTTATCCTGGTGGACTTTGTGTGTAGTTCTCACAGAAAGGTGAATTTTGTGAACTCTTTTTGAGTTTGAGGAGCAGCTTTTCTCTGGTGTAAGGATTGGAGTCCTGTGCCTCCTATACCAAACAGAGGCAGCCTAACCCTTGGAGAGAGAAGGGATTGGTGAGGTCTGGATAATCCTTTCCATGAAGAAATTTTCCCCAATATCCAACCTAAACCTCCCCTGGCCCAGCCTGAGGCCGTTCCCTCTCCTCCTGTCCCTGTTCCCTGGGAGCAGATCCCAAATCCCCCCGGCTGTCCCCTCCTGTCAGGGAGTTGTGCAGAGCCACAATGGCCCCCCTGAGCCTCCTTTTCTCCAGGCTGAGCCCCTTCCCAGCTCCCTCAGGAATTCTCCATTCCCTTCCCTGGACACTCTCCAGCCCCTCAGTGTCCTTTCCATGAGGGGCCCAGAACTGTCGCCAGGGCTGGAGGTGCCTCAGCAGTGCCAGCACAGGGGACAGTCACTGCCCTGCTCCTGTGGCTACATTGGCTGGTACAAGCCAGGTGCATTTGGCCTCTTGGCACACTCATTTACTGCTGAATTCTGGAAATAGGATTTACCTGAGCTGGTATTTATTTATTGCAAGAAGTAATAAAGGTTCACTTTAAGGGCATCTTCTTTATTTTTATTTTCCAAGCATTTCCCCCCCAAGGGGTGCACACAAACCCACTGCACAGTGCAGCTCACCTGAATGTTGGACTGGAGCAGCAATGCACTAAATTGCACTTCTGGCTACTTCTAATTATCCTAATTGGATTACTCTGGGCCTGCTCAGCTGACAGGCAAGTACATTAGATTAGCTCTTGACTTCCTAGGAAACACCCAGCATCTCCCTGGCAATTTTAACAGCTGTAGTTTTATTTCCTTTCCCATCACAGATAAAACAGATGGTGTAAGGTATAGAACAGTTAAAACAGGGCAGGCAGCAATATTTCCCTGTTTATACGGCTGTTACAGACCTCTCTCCCTGTTGTGGCTGTGTCAGGAGTGTAAAGATGCAAATCTCAGGGTTAATTTTAACACCCTTTGGAGTGCAGCTCGTAAACACATGTGCCTGGAACAATGAGAACATGAAATAAAGTCCATTTCTGAGCAGAACAATGATGTAAACAGCGAGCTGAACCTCTGGCTGAGGGAATGGTTGCTGAAATGTGATTGTTGATGGTTTCTCAAAGTTTTATTTAGTAAAAACAGCAGAAAGGTGCATAGAAATTAAAATTGAGACCCTAAAATTCCAGAGCTAGTATTTCAAAAAGGACACTTCAATTTTATTTAAGCAACCAACCCATTGACTTTGCTGGCTTTGACTAAGCTTCCCTCAGAAATTCCAGTGACACCAGTGTAGAATTTTGGTTCACCAAAAAGCAGAGGAATGAAAAACAGCAGCTTAAAGTGAAATCTCATAGAATCCAAAATAGTTTGGGTTGGAAGGGAGCTTAAGGACCATCCCATTCCAAAACCCTGTGATGGGCAGGGACACCTTCCACTGTCCCAGGCTGCTCCAAGCCCTGTCCACCCTGGGCTTGGACACTTCCAGGGATCCAGGGGCAGCCACAGCTTCTCTGGGCACCCTGTGCCAACCTTCACAGGGAAGAATTTCTAATTCCCAATATCCATCCATCCATCCATCTATCCATCCATCCATCCATCCATCCATCCATCCATCCATCCCTGCCCTCTGGCAGTGGGAGCCATTCCCTGTGTCCTGTCCCTCCATCCCTTGTCCCCAGTCCCTCTCCAGCTCTCCTGGAGTTCTCAGCGCATGATACCTCAAAAAGCAGAAAAACAGATTCTTGCCCCAACACTGAGTTGTCTGAGGGCATCACTCACACAAAGAGGAGCCAACTGGAGATGTCCGGGATCATTTAGGCTGGAAAAGATCTCTGGGATTATCGAGTCCAACCTGTGAATGATCCTCGGCTTGTCCCCAGCCCGGAGCACCGAGGTCACATCCAGGCGTTCCCCGGCCACTGCCATGGCCGGGGACTCCAGCACCTCCCTGGGCAGTCCAGGCATGACCAGCTGGGCATCGCCAGCTCCAACGTGAGGCGGCAGCGCCATTCCCATGGGCGACAGAGCCAAGATGGAAGCGCGCGTGTGAGGAGAAGGAGCCCCCGGGAACGGCAGGGGACGGCGACAGGGAGGGAGCGTTAATGGCCGCGCCACGGCGTGAGGCGCTGCGAGCCGGGCCCTGCTCACCATTAACAGCCTGTTACCGAAACTTCGGGGTGAAGCACCCCGGATTTGCGAGCGCCTTCATTAAACGAGCGGCTTCATTAAGCGAACGGCGGTGGCGGCTGCCCGTGAGGGGAGGGCACAGCGCTGAGGGCGGAGCGGGGCGGAGACCGCGGGAGCGGGGCCCGGGGGCGGGCGGGAGGCTGGGAGGAGGAGGAGGAGGAGGAGGAGAGGAGGGGGCGGAGGAAGAGGTGGGAAGAGGAGGAGGAGGAGGGAAGAAGAGGCGGCAGCAGCAGCAGCAGCATGGCGGCCGGGCGCGAGCGGCTGAGCGCGCCGCCGCCGCCTCCTCCTCCGCCGCCTCCATCTCCTGCCGCTCCCGAGCCGGAGCCCGCGGCCCCGCTGCCCAAATAGCCGCCCTGCCCCGGGTCCTGCCCCGCCCGGACAGCGCCCGGCCATGGAGCTCGCCAAGCCGGCCTTCCCCGCGCTGCCGCAGGCCAAAGAGGACTCTGAGGTGAGCGGGAGCTCCGGTCCCGGCCCCCCGCACACGCCCGGCCCGCGGCTCCGCCGGGGCTTCCCCTCACAGCCCTGCCCGCCCTGCGGTGCTTCCCGCGCCCCTTCCCGCGGGATTCCCGCTGGGATCCATCGCAGGCCGCGGGTCTGTGTCCCGCCTTGTGCTGGTGACACCCCCTGCGACCACCGACCGCATCTTGGCTGCCGGGAGCTTCCTCCGTCTCCCTCGCAGACCCCCGGCCCTTCGGCATCTCCTCTCCCCGCTGCCTCCGGCCTGGAAGTCTCCCACTATCCCAGGCTGCTCCAAGCTCTTCCAACACGGCCTTGAGCCCTTCCAGGCATGGGGCAGCCCCAGCTTCTCTGGGCAGTCTCGCCACCCTCACATTGAGTGAACGGAGCCCCCTCGCTTCATCTCCTTTGCCTTCTGCCCACCCATAGCGGCCCCCGCTCTTTTTTATGCCCTCTTTCCTGCGCTCCGTGTGTCACAGCGTGTGTGATACCCGCTCTTTTCGTGTCCCTGTGCCTTTGTGCGGCCCCAGCCGTGTCCCCGTGCTCCCCCCGGCCGGCAGTACCTGCGTGTCCCTCCCGATCTCCCTCTGCTTTCCCCCTCTCCGCTGCTCCAGGAGCCCTCCCGGCTCTCGGTGAGTCCATCGGGGAGGTATTTCCACGGTGTTCCAGAGCCAGGACTTCTCTGCGGACGAGGACAGGTGGCAAAGAGTGCTCGGGCTGGGCTGTGCGGTGTCACAGGAGCCGGGGCAGCGCGGTGTCTGATTTCTGAACTTGGCTGAACTCCCCGGCGCTGACCCTGGGCGCTGCTGATTTGTTTTTGTGTGTCACAAACATGCCCGAGTGTTCTCCCCCCTTTCGGTGGCCTCAAATATTTAATGTGAAATGTCACAGCCTGCGTGAGGGAAGCTGAGAGTGTCTGAGCTCTTCGGACGTCTGTAGATTGTCATTTATTTCTGTTTGAGCAGCATTGCTCAATGCTGTTATGGTGGTAAATTACCTGAAATATGGGAGTGACTCTTTCTGTTCTGTTTTTGTTGTCAGGATTTAATGCTCCCATCACTTCAGAGCTCTGGAGGTGTTGTAAGTCATTTAGTTGTTCTCACAAAGTTGTAATCACTTTGTATCTCAACACAAATCGTCTAGCACCCTGTCAGGTTTATAATTTGTTTGTTTTAAAATACCTTTTCTTTTTGGAGAAACCAATTGTGTTATCCACAGTTTTGTCTGAGGATGATTAACTAATATAGCCTGGGTGGCTTTTCATCTAAAATGGCTAAAGAGGAATGTGGGATTAAAATAAAAATGAAACCAGAGCTCACTGCCAGTCTAACAACTCTTAACTGATGAAAACTGAGATTGTAATACAGTGTCTTTCAGAGTAGCTTTTATTTTTGCCTTTTTTTGTGGGCTATCTGTAAATAATCCGATGTGTAGTGTGTTAGAACTTCACATGGTGTGGATTTGCAAGAACTGATTCCACAAACAGTAACAATTTCTTTTCGATATGCTACATTTATGTCTGACTTGATCTAAATACGACATAATGTAAACGAATTCCAAGCTCTGAATACAAAATAAAAAATAGTTGGGGACATGTAGGGGAAGCAGGAAAGTGAAAGCCAGTGGTGAACATGAAAATTCTTGTAGAGGTAACTTGTTAAAAGCAAAGTGTAAGAGACTTAAGCCCAGTTTTTCAGACAGTGCTTTGGAAAAGCAAACTGAAGGAACTAAAATCATTCTGCCCACAAAATGTAGATTTTCCTGGAAAGCAGAAGGTCCTCTCTTGTGCATTGCAGAGAGAGGAGGCTCTTTAATGAGGAGTAATCCCTAATATTTCAGGAAGTTGCTGGTGGATGGTTTAATGCTGCCTTGGCAGATTTGTTTTCAAGATACTGGGAAGGGGAGGAGGGAGAACTTGGGGAATCCCTGGCTCACTTCCTGCTGCTCAAAAGTGCAGTTTTGTCACTTCTTCAACTCAATCCGAGTGCCACCCCCAGCTCACACTCCTAACCATGTCATACCTTTAATAATAATAATAATAATAGCAATAATTAAAAATAAAACCAAATCACTGTTTGGCTGCCCAGCATCCCATTCCTTCCTGGCACGTGGAGAAGAGAGAGCAGCCTGGATTGACTGGGCCAGGCTGCAGGGATGTGCTCTGGATAAATAGGTCACTTTTCCAGCCTGGATGTTGTTTGTCCTGTCCCTAATCCATAGTGTGGTGTTTGGGATTGTTGGATTTTTAAACCTCTTGACTGTTGGTACTTTTGGGAGCTCGGGAAATGCTGGAAAACGTGGAACTCGTCATTCTGGCAAAGCTTTTCTGGTTCTACTGGGAATTTCTGTGAACTGTGTGTTCTCTTACAGTCTGGTGATGGTGAATATCTCAGTTTTATGAGTAATAGTGATGTGGAACTATTTCTGAGCTTACATTTAAATTTTTTTTTTCCTAAAATCAGCACATTTTCCAAGGTCAGGTCTCAAACTTCCTTAAATTTGAGAAGTTCTGTGTTACATGTTTATACTGGGAGGAAAAATATGGCTAAAAACCCATTAAAAAGGGTCAGGTTAATAACAATTAGTACATGTTGACTTATTAATTCTGAGACATCTTAGTACTTCTGGAAAGAAGGTCAGTAAGGACTGGAATAATTGAAGGAATTGAATAGAAATTATTTTCCCATTAAATTTTAAACAAATGAGAAAAAATAACTAGGATATATATATATATAATGAGAACACAACAACAATTACCAGTTTATTTCTTTGTTAAAACATATTTGCTTACAGTCAGGCTGAGCAAACCAAGTATTCATGATGTACTTAGAATTTTTTTAGGACTCTCCATGGGTTTTGTAATTAAATTAGCAGCCTATTGACTAAGCAGACATATTTGCCTTTTTATTATGCATAAAAGCAGAGTTCTTTTTAGCACATGGGGTTTTTCTAAAGAAGAAATTTACATTTTTGACAGCTATATTTAGTCTGAAATGCTAATTTATTTCTGACTGCTTTTTTTTTAACTATGAAGTGAGGCAGCCCATCTAAAGGTGGAACAAATCTATTAAACTATTTTTTTAATCTGACTTTTGATAGGCAACACAAATAAACCCCTTAAAAACACAGCTTTTTTTTCCCCTCCTCTGCAGACTCTTTAAAATAAGTAGGAAGCCTGTATCATTAGAATTATTTTACCTGCCCACGTAATAGAGCCCAAAAAATGGAGAACAAATGCTGTGTTGTGCTGGGAAATGTAAATCAGGTGACAGATTTTGATCACAACTCTGTGGGATACTATCAGACTGCTTTGCATAAATCACAACAGTGCTCTGAGGCAGCTGAAGTTGAGCAGTCTCTCAGTCCTGATTCATTTGTGCCTGCTGAATTCCACACAGGCACAGTGGAGCAGTTTGTAGAATTTGGGAATTTTAAGGCGTGTTTGGGGTTTTTTAGATGAATGAGATTTGTCTCTGTATAGCTCAACTGATGAATTAAAAAAAGGAGGGGCATGAAAAAGGCCGTTCCTGCACCATTAGAAACAATTCTGATAATCTGTGTGAGTGACACTTGGCTTTGTGCCGCTGTAAGCTGAAGGATTCTGCCTCATTTTTACTTTATTTCCCATTTTCTTGAGAAAAAAAAATTATATGATGCAAGTTTTTCCCAGTGCTGCTGATGGTATTTAATGAGGTGTTTTTAGGACCAGTGTTAGAGAATGGGACAAATAGGAATTGTTTTGTTTCTACTTTCTATTTCTATTAGTTTTACCTTTTATCCTTTTCTGTACCTTGTGTTTCTCTCTGCTAAAATAACTTTTCTTTCTTTTTTTGTCCTTCCTTCCTTCCTTCCTCTGTGTGCTCTGTCATTCCCACCTGCTATTATTCCTCTTCTCCACCTTCCTGCTTTTGTATTCCTTTGTATTTTCAATAGCAAAAATGTCTCTGGTGGGGCCTTCCCATTGTCTGAGTGCTGTTGACAAACACAGAATTCCCTGTAAAATTGCTTCCATGCCTGCATCCTTTGCTGAGGGTGGTGGCCATGGGATGGAACAAGGGTGGCAATGTCACCTCACCTTTTCTCCTGTCCCTTTCTCCAGCCCTCAGCCACTTTTGGGATAGCAGCACTGTCCAAACATTCCTTGAGCTCTGCTCATGGTACTGCCACGCTCACACCTTCAAGGAATTAAATTATTTCGTTTAATTTTGTGTATTTTATAGATGTGCACCAGGATTTCTACCTGGGGAAAAAAATATATATATATATATTTGGGCCTGCACTGGTAGTGTCATTGCACTAAATGATTGTTGTAGATCCCTTCCAACTGAAATAATTCTATTTGTATAATAACCCCCATATTTTTAATCTAACTGTCCAAGATCACAAAGCATGACTGAAACTGAAGACACAACCTTTCACTTCATTCCTGTTTGTAGCTAATTTGAGGCTCTTAACTACCACATTTCACGGTGATAGACGTGACAGGTTTCGGTGATACTCAAATGTTTTCCTTGAATATTCTTTCAGTGCCTCATTTAGTTTGTCTGCTTTCTTATTAAAATATGGCAAGTGAGTGTGCTCTGCTACTGCTTTACTATTACAAGATTTCTCCTGCAGCTGTTCCATTTTACAAATACCAATTTCAATTTTTGTGCAAGTCTTTGATGATAACATCCCTCTCCTCCACTTAGTTGGGCTATGTAAAATAATGTGTAAAATGCTTTCAAACCCCAAGGTGTGATCTCATTTCATCGTGTGAATGACACTTGAGGCTGCCTGGGAATGGAAACCTTTGTGTGGATTGTTGTGGGATCAGGACTCGGCCCCGATCCGAGCTGCAGCCTGGCCGGGGGGATGGACGATGGTGCTGCTGATGTAATGCTGCCCTCGGAGTGCTCTGATACAGCACGCTCAGGCTGGAATTTGAATTTCCTGTGCAGCGGTTACAGGCAGAGCCAGGAGCTCACTTGGCCAGAGCAGATGCAGGAGCTGGAGCAGTCAGAGCCCCGGCTGGCTCTGCTGTAACAGTTTCTGCTGCTCCAGGTTCTCCCACCCTGTAGCAGGTTTGGAATATTACAGGCAAAACAGCTTCAGGCAAGAGGATGCTGACAGCCCTGGATTTTTGAGGTGTACAATCCATCACGCAGGAGCCCTGCTGGGATGAGTTGTGATGGGAAGAGAAGTGTGTTTGGAGAGGGAAGTGATGCTATAAATCAACAACAAAAAAACTGTCTGGGAGTTGGGAAAGGGTTGGATACCTGGAATGCTCAGGGAGCTTTTGCTGGGAGCTTTTACTGGGAGCTGTGTGCAGCTTTCCCAGAGGATTGGAGTGATGGTCTGGGAGGCAGGAGGAGTCATTGCAGGGGATGGGTGATGCTGGGCAGCTGAAAAGCAGCAGTGAAAATCTAGAAGAGACTTCCTGCTGTCATCTCCTCTAACTACTGATTTGATTTCTTTTCCTGCTGGTTTTTGCAGCATCTCTCAGAGCTTCTCCCTTCACCTGGGCCAACCTGTGGTTTGCAGGCTCTGCTAATTATAAGGCAGCAGGAGTTGAACCATCCTAACTGGGCTTGCTTTTCAGCCAGAGCTGAGCTCAGACAAAGACTGGGGCTGTACCTTTTGTGTGTGAAAATCAGATGGGTGTGCAGACTTCAGCTGTCAGTGAGGGACCAGTTAAGCTGTGTCACGTGGATCCATTTCCCTGCATTCCTTCTGG